AAGAACCAGATCCCTGGCTAGCAGATAAGCGGAACTGGCGGGAGCCCAAATCAGCTAGTCGTCAAGGTAGGCCAACACCCCACACCTAACAGATGCAGATGGGTCACCATGACCCGCGTGAGGCGCGTGAAAACGCGAGGTGCCAGGTTCAAACCGAACAGAAGACAACGAAAGCGGTAAGCACAAAGCCCCACAACAAAACCGAGCCAGTCTCTGAACCCAGGATGAATGGGATGTGCCAATAAGTGTCACGGAGGTCCAGTGACACCATCCAAGCACCCAGCTCGAACAGGAGCCAAACCTAGGACAGTGTGGTCATCGAAAGGAGGGGCAATGAACCCAGGGGTTCAGACGGGACATGTCCAGAATGAACCGCAGGTCCACGCAGTCCCGTTTCAGGACTGGAAACTGACGGGAAACCCACCTGAGGGATGTCGTCATTTCGACCACGCGCAGGCAAACCCACTCCAAGATGACCTGACAGAGCGCAAGGGAAGAAGCCTGCCCCGCCAGACCCGAACTCCCCCGACCCCCCCCCCCCCCCCCCCCCCCCCACCCCCCCCCTGCAGGAGTGGGGCCACCCAACGCCACGGAGGCCGTGCGAAACAAACCGAAACGCAAACAAATCTTGGGACCAGGCGCGAGCGAACAGCGCAAGCCTATCCCCCATCGCCCCGTTAATGGGGCGAACCACACAAAAGAGCCGGTGCCCGGTGTACCCGACCCAGAACCTCGCACAGAGCAAAAACCGCGCCGACCAGATGAAGGAGGATCCGAAGGAGGAGCCGAACCTGAACCTGACACCAGTGGCCTACCACGACGAGAGGAAACCCGAGCCTTGGCACGACCCTTTCGGGAAGGTCCACCACGGGTCCCCCGGAGAACCAGCAAGTCCAACATAGAACGGCTAGAAGCCAAAGCAGCCTGAATATACTGCACAATGGCGGAAGTCTCGAACAAAAGAGAGCAAAAAAGGGAAAGACATCCTAAGAACCAAGGCCTAAGTGGATCCACAGGGGAGGCAAGCACCGCCCGCCGACACACGAGCCGGGAGGCATAAAACAGAGCCACCGCATCCCGCAAGATTGGCGCGAAAGGTTTCAGCAAGGCAGCCGACGAGCGAGTCTCCGAGGCCAAGGTGCCAGACCCAGGAACAGTCCCAAGCACCCCCACCATCCGTGAGCCAGTCAGAAGACAGCTCCAAGAAGGAAAAGAAGCACAAGGCCGCAACCAAAAGCCTGAGTGTGCAAGTCCTCCTCCACCTGTGCCGCCGAAAGGGAGGGAACCTGCACATGGAGCTGAATGACACCAACATCCAGGGAAGGGCAGGTGCAAACAAGCACTCATGAGGTGCTCAAGGTCGCCCCTCCAGGAAAATCTGAAGCACTGTCGAAGACCCCCACCATAAAGCGCGCGGGAATGGTAGAAGGAGTGCCAAGCTTCCAAGGTAAAGACAGGATAGTCTGCCAGCCAGGATGACTCCGGAACCTCGTAACGGAGCCAGAAAGGGAACGAAGTCCCAGACCTGAAAGATGAGGGATCCATTGCCGAAGCACAATCCGGGTCATGCAGGTGGTTTGCCGCAAGGGCCGCCTGCACCGCAGCAGGTTGGATGCAATAAGCCGAAAACCTCCAGAATGACGGAACCGAAGCCCCGGGGAAACACGGAACAGAACCAGGGGAGGGGCAGACACCAAGTCCAACTCGTATGCAGAGGGGGGAAGAAAACCTCACTCCTTGTAACAGTAAGCCCTGCTCAGAGGGTAGAAAAACCCAGGCAGGGTCTAGCGGGGCCCAAGGCCCCCAAGTCAGCCCCTCCAAGCCCCAGGGTCCTCCTCCGCAGGACCGGGACCGAGTCCTCCCCCCAAGTACCGACCCCACTAGACAAGGCCAGCGCAGCCGTAGAAGCCGGATAGAATAAAGCCCACTGGTCAGACCCAGAGGCTTCGGCCAGGGGAGGAGACTCGAATGCCTCCGTCGCCACACTGGAAGGGGCATTTCCGAGGCTGACAGTCTCTCAAGGCAACTACCCCCCGCCCCGACTCCGAAACCCTCAGACGTTTCGTTGCCAGAAGCAGGGAAGGGGAAGGGGGACCAGAATGAACAACAGGAGGGGAAGGACCAGGAGGTGCGGACTGAACCAGGGTCGAAGCGATCCCCCCCTCCCCAAGTCCGGGTCCTATAAGCAGAATGGGGCAGCCCCGGGCATCCGGGTGAGCAACCAACCGAGCACGTTGCAACAACCAAAACCTAGAATGCAACACCTGTGCAGTCTGTACCTGAAGATGATTATCCATAAATTGGGTAAATTGAGTCACCAGCAAGCAACAATACTCACAGGACTCAGGGTCTAAAGTGTCACCGACCCAACAGGCTGCATGAGGAAAAAAACAGTGAGGGTCGCCCTGAGACAAGGGGACCGAAACAACTCTCAACTCGCATGAAGCGAGGGGGGGACCCTGGTGGTCACATCCCTCGGACTCCACGCTCCCTAGGGGATTCCAGGGTCCTGAGCGTTTATTTGAAGAGGACTCTCGCTCAGGTAAACCCAGGCAGGCTACTGCTAACTGGCACCCAAAACTATCAAGCAAACTGTCTAAAGCTGAACCCAGGAATGTGTACACTCACGGGGACCAAGCAGGGGGCACCACTAACATCAGGGTGAGGCCAAACACCAATGGCAATTAGTGCAGAAGCCCCCACCAA